CTTCAGATAACCAATCCACGAGAATAGCACGCATCTCAGAATTTATATCATTCTGTCTTGTCATATAGTTGGGCTTAGCTCGAACTTTTGTTTCTCGATCTCGCATGTATCTAAAATGCAAAAGTCCTTGTAAATTACTTGAAAACTAGAACTATATGTACCTGTATATATCATCAGAGAATTCCGGATTTGTGAAAATAATGTCCTCGCGCAGCTCTTTTTCGGAGATAGCTGTCATGTATTCATCACGACTGTCAAGTTCATAGTCAAGTGCGCTACCATACTGCGATGACTTGGCATCGTCATCATCATTAACACCAAAGTTGGAGAAATCAGAGCGTATGGTGGCCGGGAAGGAAGGAACTTGGGATACCGTGGAGAAGACCTCCTAAAAAGGATGATCACTTTCGTCGTGAAAATAGCATTACACTGAGATACGATGAAATTTGCTATGTACCCGACCTTTTCATAAAATGATGCAGAATGTTCCAATTTTGGAACGTGGCAGATTATAGAGTATAATTAAAAGGAGCGAATCAAAATAAAAAAGAAACAGAGAAAATCTAAAAGAGAAACTCAGCTCTAGCTTTTCTTTGCAAAAATACAGAAAGTAAAATGCTGCAACGCTTACAATTTCTATATAAGGTAAAAAGCTGTGTCACTTATAAATACCGCAGATTTTAAGAACAAAAGAATATAGCAACAAACCCTAAACCATGTATTAAACAATAAAATCTAATCTTAAAAGAACTTTTCCATAAAGGAGTTGTGGGATGGATTCAAATTTTTCAGGACAAAACATAAAAATAACCAAACAAAATCACCGACTCACATCGTCATCAGAATTAAAGTCCAGAGATTGTATGGGTAAGTCGCCTAAAGGCTTTCGCGTTGGAGCTGCTACGCTAGGCTAAATTAGAAAAGCCTCGTCAGAATCTCTTTAAAAATAAAGTTTAACTTTTCACTACCTTTTGCTCCTGTTTGGCAATTTCCTCTTCACGACAATGTTTTTCAAGTTGATGTATGATGTTGTTCTCATCATTATCATTATCGCAGTACACTTCAAAGTTAGAATTCACAGCGGGCGCAAAGGATTGAGATCGTGGGAAGGCAGGCGCCGCGTTAATCGTCGATGGCTAAAAACATGTAATTAGAGGGTTGAGTACGCACAGAACCGGTTCGTCTTCACGCATCGAGGCTATTTCCTATTCCGAAGCGATAAGACCGCGACTGAATGATTGCCGCTGTACTGGCCAAAAGTGATGTATAGTCGTGTAGATTTTACTGTGATTGGGAATACTGTACACTAAATACCAGACCCAAAAAAA